AAACTCCTCATCTCTTTGATCAATCTAGTGAATCTGCTCTGAACTGCCTCCAACGCAAATACAACCCTCCTCAAGTAAGGGGTCCAAAATTGTACACAATATTACAGGTGCGGTGTCACTAATGCCTTATACAATTACAGCAACACTTCCTGAGTTTTGTAGTCTATTACTTTTCCATTAAGTGTCAAAATTCCATCTGCCTTCCTTATTACCTGCTGTATCTGCATTGCAGTTTTCTTTGATTCATGCACAAGGGCACATAGATCTCTTGATATCTCAGGGCTCTAATATATCTCATCATTTAATCATATGCTTTTATTATATTCTTCCTGCCAAAATTGACAATTTCACATTTTCCCACATTATACTCCACTTGTCATATCTTGCCCTACTCACTAAATTTGGTGATATCTTTTGTAACCTCATTGTGTCCTCTTCACAACTTATTTTCCTGCCAGTCTTTGTGTCATAAGCAAAATTGGCAACCATACATTCTGGCCCTTCATTTAAATCATTAATGTAAATAATAAATAGTTGACGTCCCAGCACCGACCTCTTTGGTGCACCACTTATTTCATCTTCCCAACTTGATAAAGATCTATTTAACACCTATTCTCCAGACCATCAGGATCCAGACATTTGTCAGCCCACAAACGATTTACTCAGTACCACCTCACTAGTAATTGTAATTTTCCCAATTTCCTCCATTCCTTCCATTTCCTGATTTATTGATGATTTCTTATATCCTCTAGGGTGAAAATTGATACAAAATACCTGTTCGTTTCACTTATCATTTCATGATTTCCCATTACTAATTCTCAGGTCTGACTTCTTACAGGACAAATACTCACTCTGTTAACTCTTCTTTAGATATTTATAGAAACTTTGACAATTTCTTTTTCTATTTCTGGCTAGATGCTCTTGTACACTAATTTCTGCCTCCTTATTTAAATTTTAGTCATTATTTGCTTTTTAATATATTCTGTTTAACCTTCTCACCTGCCACCTGTCTTTGCACAATGATATGCTTTTTTGTCTTAAATATCAATGCTCTCTTTAAAATTTCTAGTTAACCAAAGATGGCATATCCATCCCTTAGAATTTTTCTTACTTGTTGGAGTGTGTTTATTCCTAATTCTGAAATATCTCCTTAAATGTCCACCATTGCATTTCATTGCCTTTCCTTGAACTTAACTTGTCAATTTACTTTCACCAGCTCTCGTTTTAAGCCCTCATAGTTGCTCTTATTGAAGTTTAATAAAATAGCCTTGCACCTCTCTCTGTAAAATTGAAAGTAAAAGTCAATCATATTATCGTCACTGCTCCTTAGTGGCTCCTTTGTTATGAATTCATTAATTGATTCAAACTCATTGCACAATAATAGGTCTAGCATAGTCTATCCTCTGCTCAGCTCCAGAACATGCTGTTCTAAGAAACAATCTTGAAAATATTGTATGAGCTCCTCATCTGGCTAGCTTCGCCTCAGACATTTCCACGTCATAGAGTCACAGAATCATAGAACAAGGAAATAGACCCTACGGCCCAAACAGTCCATGTTGAACATAATCCCAAAACTCCCACCTGCCTGCTCCTGGCCAATATCCCTCCAAACCTTTCCTATTCTTGTACTTATCCAAATGTCTTTTAAACATTGTAATTGTGCCCACATCCGTCACTTCCTCAGGAAGTTAATTCCACATGTGAACCACCCGCTGTGTAAAAAATTTGCCCCTCATGTTTTTTTCACATCTCTCTCCTCTCATCTTAAAAATGTGCCCCAGGTTCTTGAAATTCTCCGTCCTCGGGAAAAGACAACTACCATTAATTCTACCTAAACCCCTTATTATTTTATAAACTTCTACAAGGTCATCCCTCAACCTCCTATGCTCCAGTGAAAAAAAAGTCCCAGCCTATCCAGCCTTTCCTTATTATTCAAACCTTCGTTACACAACAACATCTGGTAAATCTCTTCTGAACCTTCTCCAGCTTAATAATATCCTTCCTACAACTGAGCAACCAGAACTGGAGACAGTATTCCAGAAGAGGCCTCACCAATGTCCCTTACAACCTCAACATGACTTCCCAACTCCTATACTCAAAGGACTGAGCAATGAAGGCAAGCGTGCCAAATGCCTTTTTTAACCACCCTGTCTATATATGACACAAACTTTAAAGAATTATGTACCTGCACCCCTAGGTCCCTCTGTTCTATAACACTACCCAAGGCCCTATCCTTAATTATATAAGCCCTATCCTTGTTTGTTGTACCAAAATGCAATACCTTGTATTTATCCAGATTGATCACCATCTGCCATTTTTCAGCCTATTGACCCATTTGATTAAGATCTTTTTGTAATCTTAGAAAACCTTCTTCACTTTCTACTATGCCACCAATTTTGGTGTCATCCGCACTTGCCTTCTATATTCTCATCCAAATCATTTATATAAATGTCAAACAAAAGAGGACCCAGAACCGATCCCTGTGGAACACCACTGGTGACAAGCCTCCAGTCCGAAAAGCAACCCTCCACCTCCACTCTCTGTTTCCTGCCATTAAGCCAATTATGTATCCAATTGGCAAGCTCACCCTGAATCCCATGTGACCTAACTTTACTGATGAATCTAACATGCAGGACCTTGTTGAAGAATTTTTTTAAAGTTCAGTTGATATGCAAATAAAAATTCCATAATTATTGTAGTGTCTTTCTGGCAAACTCAAATTATTGCTTCCTTTATGCCCCATCCTGCCCAGTAGCTACTGTTTCGGGCCCATACATTACTCCCGAAAGTGCCTATTATCTTTATATTTTCTCATTTTTACCCAAACTGTTTCCAGATTTTGGTTTCCTAAACTGAGGCCATTCCTTTCTACTGTGCTAAAACCATCACTAACTAGCACAGCTTCTCACCTTTTCCTACTTCACCGTCAGTCTTAAATGTCATATGTTCTTCCAGATTCCGGTCCAAATCAATGGCAGCTTGTACCTCTGTCTCTGTAATGGCTGCCTGATTGTACTTATTTATTTCTGCTTGTCAATTCATCCCTTTTGTTTCAGATGTTACATGCATTCTGAAATTGAGCCTTTAATTTTATTCTTTTACTCTCTAGGTAAATCTTAGTTTTATTTTTGGGTGACTCTTCAGTTCATACTCTTTCCCTTCCTTCCCCGTCTGTTTATCAATTTCCATATTAATACCTCTCTCATATCAATGACTCTACTCATTGTTAAACCACATCTTCCCAAATTTCATCTCTTGCCCCTATAATTCAATTTAAAATCCCCTCTACTTCCCTAGATATATGGTTGGCAAATACATTGAGCCTAGCACAGTTCAGGTGGACATTGTGCTATTGATAGAGATTCCACTTTCCCAAGTGCTGATGCCCCACAAACTGGAACCAATTCTCCCACATCAGGTTTTGAGCCATGCTTTCATTTTTCTAATCTGACTTGCACTATGCTAATTTGCATGTGGCCCACGGACTATTGCAGAGATTATGACCTTTCAGGTACTGCTTCTTAATTTGGCACCTGACTCCTCCTCCTGCCTATGGAGAACCTCCATGTTTGTTCAACCTAGGTCATCAGTATTTACATGGACTGTAATGACTCGATCTCCTATCTCGCACTTGAAGGTCACCCCCTAGCCCCAGACCTCCAGTTCTGAACCCTGACACTGAGGTAACACAGGCACCTGGAGTCATGCACTTTGCTGCAGAGAGTAATGTCAATCCCCCTCATTATAACATTCCTTACTGCCACTACATTCCTTCTTGATTTCTGCCTGTTAAGTGGCTTTTTGCATCATAGTGTCATGGTCAGTTAGCTCAGCCCCCTAAAGTCCTCACTCTCATCCAGACAAGCTTAAAGAACCTCCAAACTGTTGCACAATTGTGAAAGGCTGAGGTTCCTGTGCTCCTGCCCCCTGCATCCTCTTAGCTGTCTCACTTGCAATCTCACTCGCAGTCACACTCTCCTGACCCTAACACTGACTGCATCAGATGATTCGACCCGAAGAGGTGTGACTGCCTCCTGGGACAAAGAATCCAGGTAAATTTCCCCCTTTCTTATGTGTCACAGTGTCTATATTTCAGTACACAGCTCATAAGGTCTGAGCGGAAGCTGCTCAAACTTCAAACACTTGTCACAGATAATGTTCGTTCTGGGCCAAACAGGCAACTAGGAATTCCCACATGCTGCAATTGTGACACATCACCTGTCTAGCAATCCTTAATATGTTCTAAGGAAGTATTTCATTATTGTATTCAACTTCATATGAAATTTTTATATATTTCATTAGCCCTTCTACCAATTGTGTTATGATTTTGAACCTTAGAGGTAGAATAAACTTTCACCACTTACTAGATATTCACCAATTAACTGGCTTCTCCTCCTGCAGTAGAATAAGAATGCATTTCTGGAGGCTGTAAAAGATTAGACAAAAGCAACAGAACGTCTCTTTCTCTTCCTGCTCTTAACTCTTTTAAACGCTTAACCCCAGCAGGCCAGTTGGTCAAATTCAAATGCTAATTCACACTAAGTTAGCAAGTTTCATAAACTCCTAACACAAAAGGCCAACCTGACTCAATTAGGAATCCTCTAGTTTGGCAAGCTCTTAATTGAGCCCCTTTCTCACTGGAACTGTTAAAAAAAACTTTGCTTAAGACTGGCATCTACTGAATTTAATCTGTAGATTTCAGGTTAATGCTAACAGCAAACTACAGACTAAATTAGATTGGTACAGAATAAAAATTCAGACTTTACTGCCCAACAACTGCACCCATTCAGTCCTAAAGTAATTTCCGCCAGTTTACATTTATAAAGCAGTAAAATAGCAGCAAAAACATAAAGCGTGATATCAAGATTTATGATTCTTTTATGATCTTCTTTGCCAGAGATCCATGGGTGATTCTCACACATAACTTCACATTTAATATTTACAACTTTTTCAAAGCTTTGCTGAAGATTTCAACTGTTTTTATTTGTTTCTTCACATACCTGCAAACATCTCAATGGTGTTCATCTTTGTCTGATTGATGCTGATGTTAATGCTGATTTTTCCATCACTAAGGTTGATTTCCACCATTCCATAACCTGGGGCAAATTTGCTGAAAAGTAGCAGACTGTTGGGATTCCATGTTCGAAACATAAAGCTGATGGAAAACAAGTCCTGGTTCATGTGTCCAGGCAACAGCAAATAACTGCTGCTATTAAAGAACACAGGTACAGCACGAGATTCCACACAGGAGAAACTCAGATTACCCTGGAAAGAAAAATAAGAAACAAAGATTGCTATCGAAATATAGCCAACAGCCTGCTACACAAAATCTTTCTTTTCACAAACACCTTTGCATTTAACATTACCTTCTGTTTTTTTTTTCCTAGCTGTCTCTCAGTTAGAAGCATGCTCCTTTCTCATTTTTGAAGTAAGAAGTTCAACCCCTGCTCAGAACCTAAGCACCAAAACTGGTTTGGTAGTGCAGTGCTGCATTAACAAAAACTGACACCTTTCAAATGAAATGTGAAGTTGAGTCCATTTTCCCTTTTAGGTTGTTATAAGATCCCACAGCAGTAATTTGAGGAAGAGCAGGGGAACTGCTCTCAGTATTCTGATCAATAATTGGTGGGACCATGGTGTCTGAAAATTGGTGGTTGTATTTCCTTTATTATAGGAGGGACTAAACTTCAAAATGACTCAATTATCTGCAAAATACTTCAAAATGTTTGAATGTTATGAAAGATGATATAAAGATTTCTTACAGATAGTGGGAACTGCCGATGCTGGAGAATCTGAGATAACAAGGTGTAGAGCTGGATGAACACAGCAAGCCAAGCAGCATCAGAGGAGCAGGAAAGCTGACATTTCGGTTCTAGACCCTTCTTCAGAAATGATTTCTGATGCTGCTTGGCCTGCTGTGCTCATCCAGCTCTACACTTTGTTATTAAAGATTCTTTAGATGGCTATTCCCATTAAAACAAGAAGCAGGAGTGTAGGTAGCAATACTCAGGCTAAAATATAACAAGCAAACCAATTGATCAGCTAAATCAACATTGAGATGTGTTATAGACTTCAAAGCTTTTGCTCATTAGTGCAGCTGGGGAATTATATGAGAGTGAATATATTACACTTCATTTCCAAGATAGCAAATTTAGTCAATGGTAACCATTTTTGATGACCATGGAACTTGTTCAGGTTGTAGTGGAGAAATACAGTTACATTGGGCTGAATCTTTATTTTGGCTAAGTGCAAGTTGCATCATGCTTTCTGGAGGGACTTCCGGTGCCAAGTCTCGTAGGTTTCTCGCTGCATCTTACAAACCCTGCAACATGAATTACCTATCCTACGCCTATAGCATCCCTCACATCTGAAATCATGAGGTTGTGGCTCTTAAATCTTAATTTTCAAGCCTTTTAAAAGCTTATATAAATCCCATCCACTGCATTATTTTGTCTCCTCTCTTTCTTACCTCTGAAAAAAATTCAACAACTTTGGTCAAGCATGATTCTCCCTTCTAAAATTCAAGGTGACTACTCTTAAATATGCTGGAATATATTTTCAGGTCTTCTCCTATCTCATTATCTAGGCATCCCTTTGTGGCTCAATAGTTATGAATCTTTATTTTCCTTTTATAATTTATGTACCTATAGAATAAATTCATTTCCATGTTTCTTCTCATAAACAACTGTAAAAGTCAGTTTCAATAAAGACATATGTTTTAGTTTGTAAGTTGAGCAATGTTAGTATGATGAAGTTGGAACGGTACATTAGGTACCGTGCCAATGAATTAGCACCAAACGTTGCATTGTCTTGTTGCTCAGGGAAAATAAATAGTATTCACAGAATCAGAATTGTTGTAGCAAAGCGAAGGCCAATTGGCCACGCATGTCCATGCCAGGTCTTCATTGTCTCATGTGCCCTTTATTCTAAGGGAATACAGTGGCAGGATCTTGCAAGATTTAACAAGTGATTTTAAACGTATGTGATAATGCTGAATCCATACAACATAAAGCTGGCTCATTCCTAGCCTTAAAGTGTGGAAAAGGTGTTGCGCTTTTCTTCCACATTGAACCATAAAGGAAACATAAATGTTTCCTCATCATCCTCATCAGACAGTATCGCATCATCAATAAATGAGCTGCATGCCTTTTTCTATTTATTCGTTAATGGGAAGTGGATGTCACTGGCTAGGGCAGCATTTATGGCTTTTGGGAATGTGGGGTGAGCTGCCTCCTTGAACTGCTGCAGTCCTTTGAGTGCAGTACATCTACAGTGATGTTAGAGAAGGATTTCCAAAATTCTAACCATGTGACAGTGAACAGCAATACTGTTCCAAGTCAGGATGATATGTGGCTTGGAAGGCAACTTGAGTGCAGTTGTGTTCACATGCATCTGCTGCCCTTGTCCTCTAGGTGATGAGGGTCACAGTTTCAGAAGGTGCTATCAAAGGATCCTTAGTGATTTGTGTTATGTATCTTGTAGATGGTAGACACTGCTGCCACGATGCATCAGTGGTAAAGGAAGTGAACGTTTAAGGTGATGACAGTCAAGTGGAGTGCTTTGGAGTGTTGAACTTCTTGAGTGTTGTTGGAGCTGTACTCATCCAGGCAAGTGAAGATCATTGCATCAAAATCCCGAGGTATGCCTTGTTGATGGTGGATGTGCTTTGGGGAGACAGGAGGTAAATTAGTCACCAGAGAATTCTTAGCCTTTAGCTGCTCTTGTAGCCACAGCACTTATATTACTGGTCCAGTTGAGATTTCTGGCCAATGATAACTGTTATTTTGTTGTTAATGGGTGATTCCAAAATTATAATGCTATTGAATTTCAAGGAAGCAGTTCTCTTTTGTTTGAGATTGTCATTACCTGGCCTTTCTATTATTTTGATGTTAATTATCTCTATCAGCACAAGTCTGAATGTGGACAAGGTCTTGTTGCATATAGGCATGGACTGCCTCACTATTTAAGGAGAATTACAGATAAAAAGAAACATCGTATCAAAGCTTTTCATATTGCAATCATCAGGACAATTCACCAGCAATATTAAAGATAAAGGGAAAGGAAGAAAATATATACTCTAATAGAGAAAAGCACTGATTCATTGTCATGTGGTCTATGATTTGTAGAAGCATTGCCATTGAAAATGTAACAATTAGATAATGATCAACAGTTAACTGCCATGCTGTATTTAAGCTTTACACCAGGCAGATTAACTTCGATTAGTCAAGGCACTAGCCTGAGGAATGAACCTGAGGTCAGCTGTCACCAGCTTTGTTTAGTTGAAACAACACAAGGTGTATATTAATTCTTTCTGTCTGCAAGAAGAGGGCCCTCTATATTAATGCATGCAGCTTCCAGTACATAATAATGTATTGCACTGTGAGCGCAACCAACAATCCTAAATTGGTTGTCAGCCTAATTCTTATACTTGGGATAATTTAGCAGATGTTGTCCAATTGTGGAAATACATTTAATGTTAGACACTGTATTTTGAATTTTGCAGCATGGATTAGTAGGCTACCCTTGTCTGTTTGACACAGTTCACCAGTATTTGCGATTTGCATAGCAAGCACAACACTAGCACTGATATTTATGCAACACATTGTGCTAGTTTTCACTTTTAAGCATATTGGTAATGCCAAGGTGAGAAACAGTTCCATAATTAAATGATTGTTTTTGCAAGACAAATTGCAAAACTTGATAATAGGGTTACTAGTTTATGCCATGCCCAAAGGTGCACTTGGTCTGTAGTATGCAAATTTCTTCCTTTTGTAAAAATTTGATCCACTTATGTTGCTACCTAGTTTCAATCAATGACCACACAATAAACAACAGCTATTTGAAACATGCCCAATATGTAAGCTCATTCATGCATAAGTATTTTGGCAACACAATCAACAATGTCACTAAATATGATATAAATTGCTCTATGTAGTCTCTGAGAGCAAAGAGTTTTTCCTTGCACTTGCTTTCACTTTTGGCCTACCCCTTCGTCCCACATCAAACAGGAAGAGGCATTTTCTGAGTTCAACCTTCTAAGCTCCCAGCTATCCTGCCACAAATCAGAATCTACTGAAGACGCTGAATCCTTGAAAACATGTCCAACTGATCTAGAACATGCATATGGGAGGGTTCTGAATAACTTATCCAATTTTCACATGCAGAAAAAAATATGTGGCAACACTTTTTTATTCATTAGCAAGATGAAGGCATCCCTAATTGCCCAGACAGCAGTTCAGAGTCAACCACGTTACTGTGGGTCTGGAGTCACATGTAAGCCAGACCAGGTAAGGATGGCAGTTTCCTTCTCTAAAGGACATTAGTGAACTAGATGGGTTTTTCCAACAATTGACAATGGATTCACAGTCATCATTAGATGATTAATTCCAGACTTCCTTTACCAAATTCAAATTCCACCATCTGCTGTGGAGGAATTCAAACCCGGGTCCCTAGAAACCCTGGGTCTCTGGATTAACAGTCCAGAAGTAAAGACCTCTAGGCCATCACCTACCTGCAAAGCTTCAAGGCCAATTCACATCAATAAAACTGACAAAGGGTCAGGAATGGTCATCCATAACAGCAGTAATTATACTAACAAAATATATGCCATTTTTAATGATGGGTCCAACTTCAAATCCATTGGACCTGCTGCTCATCATGACTGGGCAACCTTACTTAGAAGCAAGCATAAATACACACTGCTGGACTTGTCTGTAAAAGCAACGAGCTGCCGGGTGATATATAGTTTCCACTTACATGGTGAAGGATTCCTTCAAATACGTGAATGCTATACAGGAATTGCATTTCAATAGCAATGCAGTATCTATAAACTCATTTTAAGTTGCTAGGCTACTTATTATGACACACCTCTGGAACAAGTAGGATTTGAACCAAGGCACCTGGCTTAACGGTAGGAACATCACCTCTGCACGACAACAGCTGTTCAGAATCCTGTATACTTCAATCAAGTCCCCATTGCTCTTCTAAACATCACTAGGAACGAGCCCAATCTGTCCAACTTTCTCCATAAGATGAACTGATCAGTCCAGGTATCAATCTATTAGAACTTCTCTGAACTGCCTCTAATGCATTTGCATCCTCCCTAAATAAGGAAAGCCAAACTGTACTCTGTACTTCAGTGATTTCACCAATGCCTGATAAAACTGAAAGATAACAGACCATAAGACCATAGATATTGGAGCAGAATTAGGCCAGTTAAGTTTGCTCCACCATTCAACCATGGCTGATATGTTTCTCAATGCCAT